GTAATTTTAAAGGCTACTGTTCACTTACATATATTTTTATTACCACAAAAAAATTATAGGGCCCTATGAATCAGTTTTATTACCAAATTCATTTTTTTTCCATTTTCATTTTTCTATACTCCGTTTTAATGGTTAAATTAAATTTTATTAATCAAAAAGCCTGTTTAATTAATTGAGTTTTACAGTTTTATCTTTACCAAATTCTGTTTTCCATTATTTTCTGGATTCCATTTTAATGGTTCCATTAAATTTTAATAATCAAAAGCATCTCCAATTAATTGACTATTTTTTTAAAAAGTTTTTTTTTTCAGAAATAATGCACATTTACATTTTTCTTCTAAATAAAATTTCTGGTAAATACTCCTTTAAAAAGTGTTTTTTGATTATAATTGTATTATTAGTAGACTAGAACACGTGGACATGTTGCCATTCTTACTCTATAATACTCTATAAACTCTGATTTCAGTGATTTGGGCTCCGAGACGGACACTTGCTTCTTGCACTTTACTTTTGCTTTCAAAAAAGGATTTCATAGAAATTTGGATTTCATTTGGTTTGAACTTTTTGTAGGAAATTAATCGTTAAGATTAACAGATTAATCGATAAATTAGTCGATAGATTAATCGAAATAAAAATAGTCGTTAGTGGTAGCCTAGAATTAATTACATTTTAACATGTTACAGAAATAGAAAACGGTTATTTTAAATAGTAATAATTTTTCACAATATTACTATTTTTACTGTATTTTTGAGCAAATAAATGCAGCCTTGGTGAGCAGAAGAGACTTCTTTCAAACACATGGGAAAAAAAATACAAAAAATACAAAAACGTACCGACCCCAAACTTTGTTTATGGTAAACCCTTTTTAATATAAATACCTCCTTAATAAGAGGCATGTACGTTTAATCGAGGTTACAGAGGAACTGCAGAACCAGAATGACGAACATCAAGGTGAACAACATGGGTATTTTTCTCACACTAATTGACGAGGTCTTTCCCATGGCTAAACTGGCTCTTTCCAAAAGTATTATAGGATCAGCTGCCTTACTGCGCCCTTTTTTTAATGACGGGCGCTTTGAAGATTTTCCTCTTGCCCTGGTCAGCGCTGCATTAACTGACTGAACTCTGGGTAACTCTACAAGCATGTCCATGTAAATTTCTCCTCTCCTCTTTATATTTTAGAAAAGGCTTCCTTCTAAAGGGGGTCATCGTGATATTTGGGGGTTTGAAAATAGTTTAAAACCCCTCCCTTACACCAGCCCCTTTTGTTTTTTAATGATCAACACATTCATTCAGCATTTACTTCCAAAAACTCGAAAGTGTAAATATGCAAACGGCTGAAAGGAGCAGGCATTAAGCTCAAAGGAGAAGGCATTACAGCGAAGGATCTGCAAATAAAGACTTGACTGTTTGAAAACACAAGCCCACTACTCTGCATTGTTTGAAGCGGATTCAGTTGTCTGTGGCTTCAGGGACTCTTATTAGCAAGTGAAGCAATTAGCATGTCAATGGGCTTGTTGAAGCTCTCCAACACCTTTTTGATGGTTGAAAGTGTGAGTCAGAAGAGCTGAACCTCCTGCGGACAGCAGAAACACAGCCACCCCCAACAAGACTGAAGATGAGCAATGACAATCCAGCAGATGATGAAGACTCAACCGAACGTAACCAATGCAGACCATTTAGCTGATCATAGCTGGTCTGCAGGCTGGTTTTAAAGGGGTTCTGACCACTTCTTTAGCCGTTTAGGCTGAGAGACCAGCTAAAACCAGCTCCTTCCAGCTTAAACCAGCTGGGTTGGTTTGAGCCATTTTTTCCCCAGCTAAAATGTACACATTTTTAAATTGGACACGGACACTTTGATTGTTTATAATATCATCGCAAAAATGTAACATCTATTATTGCACTGCTCTTTAATATAAAGTTGTATATAGGGCCTTTCGCACCGCTTTAGTTCCAGAACTAAATATACAGTACTAAAGTACTGGGACGATTTTGCGGGAACTATTTCCCAGTACCATTTGAAGGGTTGCATTCGCACCGACAGTGTGTACTAAGAAGTGACGTAAGCCAGTCGACAGCGACGTCATTTGTGCGCGGCGTTCAACAACAGAAACAAAGAAGAACAACATTAACAACAGGAGGATGGAGGACGCTGTGATCGGAGCTGTGTTTGTTGTGTCTCGCGGGTTTCACAATAATGGACATGGAATGTCGACGTATACGTAAAGCGACTGAAAGAATGGAAAGGAGGACTAAGAATCTCCAACGACAACCGGCAGTGCTAGATTTGCTACAAGTGCCTGCACTTCAGCGTCCGTCCATCTATCGCTGTTCTCCATACTTGCGAAATAAGTTGACACAATGTTTACAGTACGTTTACACAGAGTTTTAAATCATGGCGGTTGAGGGCGTTTTCATACGCGTTTGGCCAATCAGTGTCTACTTACGTCACGATTAGTACCAGTTGTGCTGGTTAGACCCTGCTCCAGACTAGGAGCTAATTTGGTTCTCGAAAAAGGCAGTCCGTTACTAAAATCGCTCCCAGTTCTGGCGGTGCGAACACGCCAAAAAGTGGGTAGTTCCACAATTAGTTCTGCTACTATGAAAAGGTTCCTGCGGTGCGAAAGGCCCTTATGTGACCCCCGGACCACAAAACCAGTCATAAGGGTCCTTTTTTTATTATCGAGATATATACCTCATCTGAAAGCGGAATAAATACAGAATAAATAAGCTTTCCATTGATGTATGGTTTGTTAGGATAGGATAATATTTGGCTGAGATGCAACTATTTGAAAATCTAGAATCTGAGGGAGCAAAAAAATCTAAATATTGAGAAAATCATCTTTAAAGTTGTCCAGATGAAGATCTTACCAATGCATATTACTAATCAAAAATTACGTTTTGACGTATTAACGATAGGAAATGTACAAAATATCTTCATGGAACACGATCTTTACTTAATATACAAATGATTTTTGGCATAAAAGAAAAATGGATGATTTTGACCCATTCAGTGTATTTTTGGCTATTGCTACAAATATACCCCGGCGATTTAACACTGCTTTTGTGCTCCAGGGTCACATTTATTGAATCCAATTTCATCTGCATACATTACATTCACATACAATATAGCAAATCTCAACTGTCTGACAGTGCATTTTAGTATCACTGACTTACTAGACTTTTACTAAAGGGGTCATATGATGTGATTTAAATTGTTCCTTTCTCTTTGGAGTGTTACAAGCTCTTGGTGCATAAAGAAGATCTGTAAAGTTGCAAAGACTAAAGTTTCAAATCCAAAGAGATATTCTTTATAAAAGTTAAGAGTCAGCCACTCCTACCTAAAACGCCTCGTTCTAACACGCCCCCGCACAGACAGCTTTGAAGGCAGAAGTTTAATAATAACTAAAAACAAGACTCGGTTCGAAAAATAAGAAACCTGCAAAATGTTAATATTTTTAAATATTGTATTGTCCAACTTTCTTTGTTTCCGTTTTCACTTTTATTTTTTATCTATAGCCTATTTGTCAATGTTTACAACCAATTTTTAAATAAAAACAAGAACTCATCGCGCATGCGGCCCCTTTTCAAACGTTCCCACTCTGAGCCGTTCACACTGAACGCGGCCTTCTAAAACCCCGTTGCTTTAATAAATTAATTACATTTTTTTAAAAAACCATCTGTACATCTCTTGTTTTTTTTTAATTCCACTGTCCTACTTCTCGCATTCATAATAGTGATGGGACGTTCAGATCATTTTACCGACTCGGACCTTCGAGTCTCGTTCAGCAAAATGAACGAATCTTTTGGAGTCATTTCGTTCGCTTTCGTTACTTCCCCAATACGTCTACTACTTACGCAAACGTTGATCACACTACAAACAATAATGCTATGAGAAACAGAAAAGATTAATTCAGTGTTTACCTGGGTCTTCAGTCTATGATTAGCTCACCTCACCTCTTACAAGTCTTCGGGTTTGGGCTGTCACGTGATGAACGAACGACTCAAACCCGAAGACTGGAACCAGGTGAACTACTTGACTAAACCCAGTACAGAACCTATAGGATGTTGCGCATGCGCGACTGAACGAATCACTCCCCGAGACGACTCGTTCATCCCGAGTCACATTAAAGATTCGTTCAAAATGAACAAATCGTTCATGAACGACCCAACACTAGTTCATAAATGCAAAAAACGCGTTCAGTGTGAACGCCCCTAAGCCGTCTACACTGCAAACGCGTTCAAGCCTGAGGTGAAAGTAGTAGTTGTGCTCAAACACTTACAGACCAACACTAAGTAGCAAGACTGATGAACATGAATCAGTCACGTGGTGTTGTGCGTGCAGGAACGCCTAATCAATAATGAGCTCAGCTCTTGCACTGCTCCAGAGTTTAGCACAGGACGATTCACACCAGGAACGACCCATCCCCCTTTAAACTCCAGCCAAATGGCCAAAGAAGAGCGCAGATTCTGAACATCTGTCACCTCCTCCCTGCAGGGATGGAAATTAATTACCCAGAAATCACTCCCAAAATATGCATCTGATTATCAACAGCCAATTTCAACAAACAAACCCGAGGGCTCTGGTGTAACTGTGATTGAACTTGTGTTACAACCAGAAACGCTGCTTTATTATATCAAAGCGAAGCAAAGGTGCATTGCATAAAATGACCTGGATCTGCTTAGAATGCATTCAATAACTGAGCAGAAATATGACCAAACGCATATGCATATGATAATAAATCGTCTCACATTTTCAAAAAGACGGAACTGGAATGCAGCAACTTTAATGAAACATTTCTTTGGTTGGATGGTGTAAATAAACTAGAGGTTTAGACTTCACGAAAAGCGTGTTGGACAGCAAAAACACTTTTTATTTTTGCAGAGACTCTTCAAATCAATCAATCAATAAATTCTCGCAATGTTATTTCTCCAGGCACACAAACAGAGCGTTCCCATCCCGTTTAAGGCAAGCTCCTCATAAACGCAGAGAGTGTTACCTGCGTGTGTGAATGCTGTGAGGAGGACGCACAGCAGCAGTAGAGGAGTTCTGGCTGTAATCCTCAGTGTGTGCATGCTTCCCGGGATGCAGCTGGGTTCGGGAATCAGTGCGTTTAAACTCCCAGACCTCTGCGCGAGCGATGAGTGAGTCTGCGCGTGCGGACAGAGCGCGCTGCGTCTCAGGTGTGCAGTGACTGAAACGCTTTCTGATGGCTCGTTTGCAGAAGAATAGCGCGTTTCATCCCGCTCAGTCCAAAGGCGTCCCAAAGTCTCCTGGTGGAAAAGTGAGCGAGTAACTGCAGCTCCTCGGGACGCAGGACGGACCCATCGCGAGGGAGGGAAGCGGATCTGCGAATCCTGCTCCGGCAAAGGCGCAGCTCATTAATATTCATCAGGCCCGCTTGATTCGCTGGGACGCAAACGTTGATTGGCTAATGAATATTAAAGAGGTCACGTGTCACGACGCTCCAAGAAGGTTATCGGGAATTTCTAGGCATGCTAGGATTAGTGAATTGGAAATGGGATTTGAAGTTTGCAAACCTTGATCGACACGTTTCAGAAAGGCGGGGCATAGAGGAGAAACAATAATGTACAGTATGTGGAAAATAATGTGTTTTTTAACCTTAAACCGCATAAACATTTCATTACACCAAATACACAAAATAACGTTCTTTTTAGCAGCATCATATGACCCCTTTAAAATTCTGAATATTTGTTTTATGTTTTCATTATAAAGTGTTAGTAATTTTGTTGTTAAGGTTTGAGAAACAAATACAATTTAAATATGATTATAGTTTTGATTTAGTTACAGTTTTAGTTAACTAATACCCTATTAAGAAATTATAAACATTAATGTCATGAATTTGCATTACAAACACAGACAGCTTTGAAGGCAGAAGTTTAATAATAACTAAAAACAAGACTCGGTTCGAAAAATAAGAAACCTGCAAAATGTTAATATTTTTAAATATTGTATTGTCCAACTTTTTGTTTCCGTTTTCACTTTTATTTTTTATCTATAGCCTATTTGTCAATGTTTACAACCAATTTTTAAATAAAAACGAACTCATCGCGCATGCGGCCCCTTTTCAAACGTTCCCACTCTGAGCCGTTCACACTGAACGCGGCCTTCTAAAACCCCGTTGCTTTAATAAATTAATTACATTTTTTAAAAAAACCATCTGTACATCTCTTGTTTTTTTTTAATTCCACTGTCCTACTTCTCGCATTCATAATAGTGATGGGACGTTCAGATCATTTTACCGACTCGGACCTTCGAGTCTCGTTCAGCAAAATGAACGAATCTTTTGGAGTCATTTCGTTCGCTTTCGTTACTTCCCCAATACGTCTACTACTTACGCAAACGTTGATCACACTACAAACAATAATGCTATGAGAAACAGAAAAGATTAATTCAGTGTTTACCTGGGTCTTCAGTCTATGATTAGCTCACCTCACCTCTTACAATGCATTCATTTAATCAAAATTTACAGTCAGGACGTTTGCGTCGTTACAAAAGATTTATATAAAATATATGCTGTTTTTTTTACATTTTTTTATTATTAAAGAATCCAGAAAAAATGATAAATCTTCACAAAACTTTAAGCAGTGCAAGTGTTTTAACATTGATAATAAAAATAAATCAATAATCAATCAAATCGATTAAAATCGATCAAATCCCATTCTTAAAAAAAAAAAGAGGTTCCATGCTTGTTTTCAACATTTAAAACCTGACCAGACATCTCTCACGTTTCAAATTCACATGTAGACAATTCACAAATACAGAGAATTATGCAGTTTCACTATACAGGCTGTCTGCTTCTCTGTTTATGAGACTGTCAGCTGTGCGGGAGGATCATACTTTCATAGCTGCCAGAATTTAATAACCAAATACAATTAAACAACACTAAATAAATAAAGCACAGCGTTTCCTTTCCATATTATGCACATTACACAGTTTCACATGAACGCATGCACATTCTAAAATGAGCCAGCTAAACATTTTTATTAACTAAAGCATTTACAAACGTACAAAAAAAAAAGTTTCTTGAGCAGCAAATCAGCATATTAGCACGTGACATAAAATTAAAGAAAAGTCTATTTTTAATTGAACAGTTTAGTGAACCTTTAGATAAGTAAATACATAAACTAGTGCTGGCAAACGATTAATCGCGATTAATCGCATACCAAATAAAAGTTTGTTTACATAATGTGTACTGTGTATATGTATTATGTATATATAAATACACACGCATACAGTAATATTTACATGCATATATTTATGTTCTTATATTGTATATTATATATAAACATATTTAACGTATAAACATAGCATTTTTCATGAATATATACATGCATGTGTGTGTATTTATATACACATAATAAATATACACAGTACACACACATATTATGTAAACAAAAACTTTTATTTTGGATGCGATTAATCGTTTGACAGCACTAATATATATATATATATAAATAAGTGTTTTGATGAATATCATATTTGCTATATCAGGATTTTATGGCTCATTTTATGGATATTCTGAGGCCTAAAATGAACAAAAATTGCCAAAAAAGTAAGATGAAATTCTTACAGCTTGTAATAAGTGTAGTATGTAGTATAGTGCATACTTACATAAGATGCATATAAATATCATTAGTCGATTAATGAGAAGTGAATGATTGAGTTTTGAGAACAAGTAAACATACTTAAAACTTAAAAGCTTGATGATATTTGATAGTTTAACGTGATTTAAAACCAAAATAATAATACTAATGTCTGGATAATCAAGTAAAGCTAAGCTGCTTCAGTCCAGTACGTGTTCATCTTGAAATATTACCAGCAATATAAAAGTTATTCTCATATTTACTTTAGAAAAATCAGATTTTACAGCAAAAACACACACGAACCTTAAGCTGAAGGTGGACGTTTGTACAGTTACGCTAAACGTCCAGCGACGACTGAAGCCACTGCAGCTTTCTAACATGATACAGTAGCCAATTTATTATTGGAGATGAAAAAGATCATAAAAACTAGTGCAACGATACGAGTTAAAGGCTGAAATGGGTTTTATTCTTCAAATATAATTTGAAAACAAAATGACAGATTCAAACCCAGATCAAATTTGATATCTCTACTACTGCGTGCAAGCGTATGCTCTTGACCCAGTGCACTCACAATGCATTCACTTACCAAGAGTCCAAACAAGAATAACCGCATTATTCAGAAAACAACTCGTAGGCAGTGCATAAACACCGTGAAATCATTTTCATGTGTAAAGAAGCAACTCTTTGGTCAAAGGTAACAAAGGAATGTAAATAAAAATGACTTTATATATAAAATAATTCTATTTTTTATGGCATATTTATTGTTGATTAGTCAAGACCTCCCATCGTCATATTAAGACATAAATAGGTTTGATGGTGCACGCCAACTGCAAACAGCGGGAAGAACCAGCGCTGCATTGATTTCAATGTGAAATGAAGACTAAAATAATCAACATTATCTGTACAGCAGGTATGGAAAACATAAATATAATACAAACAGGTTCAACCAGTGTATTCATCCATTCGAGTTGTGTGCAGTCCAGGTCTTCAGGGTCAAAGGTCACCGAACCATCATGGCTCTGTCACGCCTGTGACTCTCGTCATTTCAGGATCTTCACTGCTGCTTCTCGAATGCACTGCGCTGCTTTCTCGATCTCCTCCTGCGTCTGCTCAACAGTCACGACGACTCTGATGCTGAGGACACACACGCTCAAAAACATCAGTTTTAACATGATTTCAGAGAGGTTTCACTGATGAAACAGCTCACAGCTAATCACCTTGGCGGTGGAAGAAAACGCTCTTCTTTGTCCAGGTATCGAGCCAAAGTGAGTGCGATCTGTCTTTCCAAACTCTACAGAGAGGACCAAAAATAAGAGATTATTTATACAGCATTTACTACGATACATTTCTCTACAGCAAGAAAAAAAAAATCTGTTTTCATAAGTTTTAAAGCAACTAAAATGTTAAAAACTTTCTCTGCTTCTGAAATTACTTTCTTTTTCTGGTTATATAGCCAAGGGTTAATTAATGTAATAAAATGGGCAATTCCAACTCTAAAACTCTGTTTAAAAATGGTTGTAAATGCTGATAGCACATTCTACATTGAATGGTTAAGTTGCACCAATAAGCAGCCTACAATCAAACTTGATGGAATAATTGTTTATTCTAGTTATTAATAAAAATACATTTAATTATTTATTGAACACTGGAGCATCTTACATGGCTGTTTTATTCAATTCAACACTGCACTGTGCTTCTCAACTATATTGAGCAGGCTGATTACGTTGAGAACATCTCAAATTTAATTTGGAGTAAATGTTGTGTAGCAATGCTTTCTGCAATTTAAATATTGTGTGCATTTCATGTGATGCACAGTGGCGACAACGACAGAAATATCTCTGAAAACCATTTTTCTCCAACTGTACACACTACTGTTTAAAAGCTTGGGGTCGACGGAATTTTTGATGTTATTGAAAAGTCTCTTATGTTCACAAGGAACATAAATACAGTAAAAACAGCAATATTGTGAAATATCATTTCATGTGCTGCATCCTTGTTGAATAAAAGTATTACTTTCTTTAAAAAAAAGAATGAATTAAAATAAAAATCTTACTGAACTCAAACTTTTGGATGGTAGTGTAGCTTCATTTTGGTCTCTAATGTTCACTTTTCATGATCCAGGTTAGGGATGGGCGATATCGTATCGTTTGCGATATAAAAACCTAGATAAAACCTAGTTGTTGACATATGTGCGGAGCGAAGACATACGCATAGCGGAAGACGGACGTGAAATTGAGGAGGAATATATGGCTAAACGAGGAGCTTCTTCTACAGTCAGGGCTGTGCAGTGCGACAAAAATGAACAAATGTACCGTACTACAGAAGCACGTGTGCGATAACGTTTTGCATGTGTATGAGCCCGTTTACAAACCTGTTGTCCAACAAAGAGATTTATTGACATACTTCTACTGCAAATTCACTTTATAACATCAGTCGAGTGTTTGAAATAACTTATTTTTGTGACCAGACCTGGTTTTATACCACAGAATGAGATTAGCATTGCATTACTAATATACTTTTTTCTTATAAAAATACCCAAGATGGCTTGAAAAACACAGATAAACCATTTATTGTCACAAGTGTGTGTTTATTGTCTTATGTTTGATCAGCTTAAGCGTTTCTATCTTCTTTTTACTCCATATGTCTTTTTCTCCATATTAGGGATTTCCTGGAACGTCATCAGTTATTACTTCTGTGATGCACATGTGGAGCTTCTGCGCGAGGGCGCCCTCTAGCTTCCAGTATGAATGAAACCGACATTACATTACGTGTGTGCTCACAACACCTTATTTGTTTCTCTCTCAGTGGATGCATACGAATTATCGTAATTGATATCGTCATTGCAATAAATACCAGAAAATATAGTTTTAAGTCCATATCGCCTATCCCTAATCCAGATAATAACCAACTGATCAACGTTTTTTGCCCTATATTTTCTTTATGAACTGGTAAATACTTCATTACAAAAGTAAGTTGTTTGCGGCAATATTATTTTCATTATTACACGAGCAACACGTTCAGCCATATGCCCTGATAAGCACACTAAGACAACTGACTTGTTATCTGTGATCTGCTGTTGTAACGTACGTAATCGACAATCGCTCGGAGCAGCTTCAGGTCATTTGTTCTGGATCCGGTGCTGTTTTCCAGCAGCAGATGAAGAGCAGGAGCTAAAGGCTCGCCGGCCACCTTCAGCCCTGGAGTCCTGCAAAAACACCACTGAAATCATCACTAACGCCCACAAAAACACAACCAGCCAACCGGTGTATGAGGTCAGGAATGACTTCTGAGATATCTGGCATTTAGATTATTATTGCTCATAATAACTTGCATAGCATTGATTTTGGTTTCAAAAATTGTTTAATGTTTTTCTTTTTCATGAAAAAAAGGAGGTAAAATGGACTTGCCCTTGTAGTGCTTTGTGGACGTGTTTGCACTTTTCCCGTAACACCCTGAAAACGCCTGCGAGAGAAAATGAAAAAAAATACAGCAATTACTGTGATGTTTTGCCCAAAACATGCTTTACACAAGAAAGTGAATGCATGTAGTTTACTGATCTGAATAATAATACATACAGTTTCATGGCATTTTGAGAAAACTATATGACCCTCTTGAGTACTGAGGTCTGTTACTCTGGTTTACACATATATTGGCATTTTTTAATAAACATTTTTCTGTTTGGCCAATAAGTGCTGTAAGCATTTTGACAGATATCTAAAGAATAATCTTTGTTTTTATTATTTTTTCAAATACTTTGTGAAATACTTTTTATTTTAGTAAATGTTATGTCAAATAAATTTAATTTAATTGCAGCAATTTTTCGACTTTCTTTAAGTTAAGTAGTGGGATATCACATATTTCAGCTTTATATTGGCCATTTTGCTCTACAAAACAAACAACAACAAAAACATACCAGTCAACCACTAGTTAAGGTCGCAGTAATGCAAGAATGCACATTAAGTATGTACATTGAGACTGCACACTTGCTGTTCATAATTTGTGTGCGTGTTTGCATACGAGAATGTTTTAGGCCTAAAAATACGTAACAGAGATCAAAAGATCCAGATGCCGGAAAGCTCACTGTATTCATTGATGATTACAGGATAAGGATTTTAATCCGTTTTCAGACAGAAACTTCTATCTGATTAAATATTTCACAGCGGAGCATAACTAGAAAAATGTAGATTCGCTACAGAGACTCATTACATTTCTGTCCCTAGTCGCCAAGGTGCTCGGAGCTGTTTCTATATGGTTGCTTTTGGCCCAAGTCAAAAATAGTGAAGGATATAGTGGCCCATTGATATGACATAGTTTGCTTGTCAGTGCAAATCTGCTGGATTTTGTTTCCTTTTAACGTTAGCCAAGCAAAAGTATTATCATACATGAGGTTTTATCCGAATGCCTTAACTAAATGTGACTAATAATAATAGTAATGCTGGCCTAGCAAATACGGTTAAAAATAATGCCCATTTTCAATATGAAAGTATGTTTGAGCGTCGCTGCATATGGTTTGGATCAGCTGATTATCATAGGGTCTCTTTAAAGTCCAGCCAATTCAGTTAGCGGAAACACTTAGGCAGAAAAGAAATGCTCAGTCAGGAGGGAAAATACTCATATTCCACGTGTATATATGAGGAGGTAGATTTAGCAAATGAAAAAGTTAATAATATACTAAATAGCTAGAGAAAATAAAATGCATTTGTTTTTGTTAATGTCAATGTTGTTACCTGGATCTTCCTCCATGATGTTGAGGGCTTCAATAGCAGCAGAGGCCAGCATGGGTGGAAGAGACGCTGAGAAACAGTAACCCTGACCCGACAGACGCTGACAACATGAGAAAACACATTCATGTTCAATCGCCAGTTCACACCATAAGATATTAATGTTCATTTCTGAGTACAACAATGATGGGAAGCAGAAAATCTTCTTTAGAAGGCAAGCAGCGAAGTGATTTTCACAAAGGCTATACAACACGTATCTAAACAAAGCTTGGTGGGCCACAATGACTCAGACATGAGAAGTTTGGAGACAGTGGTACCTGGTGGGAAAACTATGCAAGCCACTGAATTTAAAAATAAACAAGGTAACTGCGACTTTAAATCTCACAATTCTGACTTTTTTTGGAATTGCAAGTCATCATCTCACAATTCTGACTTTTCTTCTAAGATTTGCGAGATATATAGATGCAGTTGTGTGTTATGAAGTCAGAATTGCAAGATATAAACTTGCAATTGTGAGAGAGAAAAAAATCAGAATTTTTAGATAAAATGTCGCAATTACCTTTTCAATTAAAAATATTATTCAGTGGTGTAGACGGGCTTCCGTAAAAAAAAAAAAAACACTTAAGAATGATATAAAGTGATCAATTATAAATATGCTTATAACTTTCCATGCAGACTCCAACAATACCACATGCATTAAGGTCAGCAATATCCATTTGAATAAAATCATAAACCACTGGATCTTTGTAACACTTTGAAACACTTATTTAAGCATCTTTGGGGGAAAACTATTTAGTACAAATTGTCAAATCTTCACCAAAATTGGACTCACAGGTTATCACAGTAAGTTATTGATTTTTGAGTCTTAAGGGGCATTTTTCAAAGTAATTAGGCAATAAAATTGACTGTGTCAATGCCAAACAAGAAACAAGGCCATTAATCCACCAGCATATTCAAAATATTTCTTTACAATGTTAATTTTCATTTTAATGTTATATTTATATGAAGTCTTTGATATTCAACTGAAGTTGGTCTTGTAATTGCTGTAGCCTGCTGCTATGCTTATCATTATGATATATTTCAAGACTTAAACTTGAAGTTTTCTAGAGCGACCGTTTTCTCATCAGTGAAAGCGACTGTATGAAAATCTGCAAAAGCTGCTCAGATTATTGACGCTCCATATGCATTTAAATAGAGCGCGAGGATTCACTTCCCTCACATCACTAAAGGGAAGAATGGATCTGATATGATCCGTGTGAAGTTATATGAAAGTCAAATAGGCAAGGAAAAGAATAAATCACTTATCACAGTACTTGGTGTATCAAAACTCATATGTAAAGAGGATTGCATAATGCATAATGTATCATATCAGAGGACTCTAGATAGTCTAAAGAAACTGTGTTATTTAACAGACAGGATTACTGATGCAAGAGCTTCTGCTTTTCTAGGGATCTGGATCACATTTCAGTGACTATAGGTTACCTGAGGAGATTGTGCTCTTACGTCCAGATTTAAAAACGCATATGTATATAATTACAGTTTTATCTTCAGAATATAGAAATCATATGTACAGAAACATACATCAAAAGAAAATGATTTTGATCATTTAAACAATAACCAGAAAGCCAAACATTTTGAGAGTATGTAAAATACATGCTGACTAATAAAATCCTTTGCTTACTGAATACAAAGACAAACCCAACATCAAATATTAAGATTCAAGAATATTTCAGGTTATTTTCGGCTGCCAGTATTTTCTGTAAACACATCCCCTATTCACAGATGTACATACAGTGAGTCAAAATGATTGTCTGTGGAAAAATGAACAGTGAGCCACAGGTGATGTAAATAAAAATTAGGCTAAAGCTAGGATTTCTGCTTTCTGGCTTCCATTCAAAGTTGGATGTAGGATATTCCTATGCAATATCTCTGACTTTAGACCATAAAGTTGAAGATAACGTATACTTTACATTAGCTTTGCAGTCTTTCGGAGTTGAATAGAACGCTATAGTAAACATTATGCTGTATATAACTTTAACAGATTGTCATTTTAGAAAGTATGCACAATGGTGCAAATCAGTTATTGTTATTTTGTAGTCATACCTGATGATCAATAACGAATGATCGTCCACAGCAGAAACCGCCGATAGACGCCAGCGCATTCTCCATGTTGGCACTGATGAGGTCAATATCATCAATCTGAAATTAAAACACACATGCAGTTTTTGCCGAATCGTTATTTTACACCCGAGTTCCTGAAACCGTAGAGAAGTTTAGATTACTTACGTTGACCCCAAAATGCTCTGTGACTCCTCTTCCGTGTTCTCCAAGCACTCCGAAAGACATGCTCTCCTCCAGAAAGATTCGCACTTTATATTTGTACTTCAGTTTCACCTGGAAAACAAGACGCAAGAGCAAAAACATCAGTCCATGTGGAAAACGTAACCAGTGAAATGTAGCAACAGCAGTACTTCAAACCTAAATATAAATTATACAGTGTTCTGACTGTTTTTAAATGTGTTCTTGGTGGTTCAGATGTAGGTCTCCATTAGAGCCCGACCGATATGGGTTTTTGGGGGGCGAATACCTATATTAAGGAGTACAAAAAAAAAAAGGCAGATATCGATATATCGGCCGATATTCTTTGTGTATATTATAGTATAGTACCAATCAAAAGTTTGGACACTTTCCCATTCGTGTGTCCAAACATTTGACTGGTACTATATATAGAATAGAGTATATACATAAACAGAATATATATACACATTAACACATTTTTTGCAATGATCACTCAAATGTGGTGATCAAACACTTATAATGATGTGACAGAGATATGTAACATAGGCAGGGCATTTAACAATTAATTAACGCTAGATAAGACCCTTATTCCTCGTCTGGGATCGTGTAGAACACTTTGAAGCTGCACTGAAGCTGCAATTTGGACTTTCCACCCAGTGAACCCCACTGAAGTCCACTATATAGAGAAAAACCAGTGGTTCAGATGTAGGTCTCCATTAGAGCCCGACCGATATGGGTTTTTGGGGGGCGAATACCTATATTAAGGAGTACAAAAAAAAAAAAAAGGCAGATATCGATATATCGGCCGATATTCTTTGTGTATATTATAGTATAGTACAAATCAAAAGTTTGGACACTTTCCCATTCGTGTGTCCAAACATTTGACTGGTACTATATATAGAATAAAGTATATACATAAACAGAATATATATACACATTAACACATTTTTTGCAATGATCACTCAAATGTGGTGATCAAACACTTATAATGATGTGACAGAGATATGTAACATAGGCAGGGCATTTAACAATTAATTAACGCTAGATAAGACCCTTATTCCTCGTCTGGGATCGTGTAGAACACTTTGAAGCTGCACTGAAGCTGCAATTTGGACTTTCCACCCAGTGAACCCCACTGAAGTCCACTATATAGAGAAAAACCCTGCAATGTTTTCCTCAAAAACCTGAAGAAAGAAAGACATGAACATCTTGGATGACATGGGGGTGAGTAAATTATGAGGAAATTTTAATTCAGAAGTGAACTAATCCTTTAAGCTTTAAAGCGTTCCATCCAGGTCGCCAGTAGCAACCAATGGAGCGCGCTCTGCTGGACAAACTACGTAATTACACAATTTACATGCATTTTATCTGCGTTTTATGTTCTGTAAAAAAAATGCTCATATCGGTGACATATCGGCGGCATATTCGCCGATACCGATATATTTGTGGCAGGCTAATATCGTCCAATAAAATTGGCAAAACTATATATTATATATATATAAAACGACGTTTCCATCCACCTATTTTTATGCGCATTTTGGAATATTGCATAATAACCGCTGGATGGAAATGTCAAGATGCGCATAAATTCTAAAAATGCGCATAAAAAAAAGTTATGCACACATGTGAGTAGGATAAACGTTTTATCCAATAAGAAAAAATGTGCATAAACTATGATGGAAACACATTTACCGAATAAATTCCTCCATGTGCATCGAAAAAATCATGTGACTTTGCGCTATGAGACGGGATAACTTTATCTGGTTTTATGTTCTGTAAAAAAAAATGCTCATATCGGTGACATATCGGCGGCATATTCGCCGATACCGATATATTTGTGGCAGGCTAATATCGTCCAATAAAATTGGCAAAACTATATATTATATATATATATAAAACGACGTTTCCATCCACCTATTTTTATGCGCATTTTGGAATATTGCATAATAACCGCTGGATGGAAATGTCAAGATGCGCATAAATTCTAAAAATGCGCATAAAAAAAAGTTATGCACACATGTGAGTAGGATAAACGTTTTATCCAATAAGAAAAAATGTGCATAAACTATGATGGAAACACATTTACCGAATAAATTCCTCCATGTGCATCGAAAAAATCATGTGACTTTGCGCTATGAGACGGGATAACTTAACTAGCCGCGGACCGATCTCGTTCACAGCATCTATATGTTGTTTTGGTCATTCTGAAAAGCCTGCGCAAAGTCTGTCATTAAAGTATTTCTGTACAATTGTCTTACACAACTGCATTCCCAAACAGCAGCATCCGCCTCCGAAAGCAATGACTGCATTTATTGTGTTTCATCTGCTCATTCTGAGGCGCAAGTAATTTATCATATATGAAAATTATTATATTCAGTGGATTCTCCTCGTTTTCTAAGTGATTTACAGTGTCAGTTTAAAAGGAAGTGACCATTTTGTTCTCTTTGACTCGTTGGATGGAAACAGTGCTTTATTCGCAAAAGTTTATGCGATATTCCAGTTTAGCGAATAAGTTTAATTCGAATCTTTGGATGGAAACATAGCTTATATAAGGCCTCATTTACACTGTCAGTTAAATGTGATTTTTTTTGCTCATATGTGACAGATCGGATGTGTTCTATGAGTGTGTAAACAGGAAAAAAACGCATGCATTCGGATATTCGAGATCGGTTTCAGGCCTCATTCATGTGTGGAAATAAATCAGATATAAATTAGATATAAAGCGACTGTCATGTAAACAAGCAGATCGGATTTTCTGAGGCATTGCATTCTGTGCGTCATTAAAATTGCCAAAATTTCGTACTTCTCCGTGGTTTAATGACAAGATATTATTCTCAGGAGGAAGCAGGTGTGGAGACGGTAAATGACAACAACTGCAAGGGATAAAAATTACTTTTCGAAGTTAAAAAAAAATTATTGAAAAACATATATATAATCGGAGCTTTTCTTGTTTAACAAGAAAATACCATTCTACCAGTCTACTTTCTTTTTACTTTTAAAGGGATAATTCACCCAAAAATGGAAATTTGGATAAACATGGATAAACAGCTCAATTCATATGGATTTATTTAAATCTCTTAACGAATGTTTTGAAGCGTCAGAGTTTTGGGTGAATAGATTTCTAACGGAGGAACTAAAAAAAAAATCTTCATTTGTGTTTCAAAGATGAACAAAAGTATAACGGGTTTGGAACTACATGAGGGTGACAGAATTTTCATTTTTGGGTGAACTATCCCTTTATTACAATGTGTTTCTTTGAAAGTATTTGTCAAATTTACTCACAGTTTGTGAGTGAGACTTGTTTCAAAGTAAATCCAACGCCATTTTCTTTTTAGTATAGCATTAGTGATGCTTTCCTTAGCAAACACCACAGAGTCAGACGACACAAACAGTGCTTTCAGAAAGGTTTTTTTTTTTTCTTCACATTTTGTTGTTTCAGCTTATACACCATACCATATGTGACCCTGGACCACAAAACCAATTATAAGGGTCAATTATCTGAAATTGGCTGAGATACAACTATTTGAAAATCTGGAATCTGAGGGTGCAAAAATATCTAAATATTGAGAAAATCATCTTTAAAGTTGTCCAAATGAAGTTCTTAGCAATGCATATTACTCATCAAAAATTAAGTTTCGATATATTTATGGTAGGAAATTTACTAAATATCTTCATGGAACATGATCTTTACTTAATATCCTAATGATTTTTGGCATAAAAGAAAAATCTATAATTTTGACCCATACAATGTATTGTTGGCTATTGCTACAAATATACCCCAGCGACTTAACACTGCTTTTGTGCTCCAGGATCACATATGATGATAAAGCAAAAAAACAGATTTGTGATAACTTTGCACCTTTATTAAAAAGGAAACATGTTTAAAAAGCGGTCTTACCAGTTCAGGTAGTGGACAGAGATCTGCAGTGTTGATATAGAGTCCCTCAACGACAATGAACCGCCGGATTACTTTCGCCTTGCGTGGATTCTAAAGAAAAACACAAAAATAATAAGAATGAATGAACAAGCGTGTATACCTGTATAGTGAAACATCGAACATCAAATGCTAGAAGTCTTTTGAGTGGTTGTTAGTGTGGATAGATCATGTAAACGTAAATCTTACTGCACTTTATTCATCTGTGCATGTTTTACTAAAGAAGTAAAGTCTGTTTTTGTAATCTTGCATCAAAAAGGAACAATTTTCTCTACTTCAAAAACATTTCTGTTGACAAAAAGGCCACATGGACAGAGTAAAATGTTATAATAACCGATAAAGTCACTTTTCACTGTAGTCACATCCCAATTGTTAAAATCGGTGATGCTTTATTTTAATGCAGTGTACACAAATAAATACTGAGTAATATTAATTAACAAAATATACTAAATACAGGGTTAGGATTATTTTTACTTTTAATTTTAGTCATTTAGCAGATGCTTTTATCCAAAGTGACTTACAAATAAGAAAAAGTAATTAAAACTAAAAGCTAAAACTCTATAAATACTATATATACTGTATATACAGTATACACACATTTAAGAAAAGAAAATAAATTAAATAAAAATGACAAATGCATACAACAACATTTCAAAACTAAACATTTAAATGAAAACAAAAAAAGTTAAAAACAATTCAAAATAGTAAAAGAACAAAAGGTATGACTGTAGGGGTGTGCGATATTGACAAAAAATAATATCTCGATATTTTCTGGGATTTTATCGATAACGATAATTAGACGATATTTTGCGGAGTGTGTTATTGTGCTGGTGTCTTAGTGATCATATGATGCTGCTAAAAAAAACATTATTTTGTGTATTTGGTGTAATGAAATGTGTTTATGCGGTTTAAGGTTAAAAAAAACACATTATTTTCCACATACTGTACATTATTGTTTCTCCTCTATGCCCCGCCTTTCTGAAACGCGGCGATTTTTACAAAGCTCATCGGTCTGAAAAGCGAGGTGTGCTGTGATTGGCCAGCTATCCAGTGCGTTGTGATTGGCCGAATACCTCAAGCGTGAGACGGAAATGTTACGCCCCTCATCATACTGTTGATGCAGTCTCCCGGCCGGAGCAACGAGACATAAACATTAAACCCATTATAAACGAGGCATTTGTTGCATCCAGTGAGGACATAATTACTGATTATAATGACTTATACTGTCTTTTTACGTGTTGCGTTGCATCGCGCTGCGTAAACATAAAACCATGTCTGCATTTGTGATCAGAGAAATGACAAACAACAAGCGCTACTCTACACTGCTCAAAACTCGCGTTTGAATCGTCAGTGGCAAATTCTTTATATATCTTCTTTATGCACCAAGCGCTTGTAACACTCCAAAGAGAAAGGAAAAAATAAAATTGCACCATATGACCCCTTTAAGGACTGCGGAAGACAGCTGATTCATAATGTTTTTAATCAGTTTATACTGATAGAAATTAATCTTTTCCAATAAGTTTAAACTGATTTTTACATTTTATGGGCATTTTTACCTTTATAAAGCCATTTTTTCTAAAAGTGTCCATTATCTTTTGAGTCAAATTCTTACATTTAATCAGTGAATTAGAGTAATAAGACATTTGGGCTTTTACCAAGCAAATCAGTATCAACAAAATTAATCTTTGCAATGCAGAGGAAACACAAACGCTGCATCTGAAGTGGTATTTAGATGTATTTACACACTACTGTTTAGTGCAGAAAATGAATGCATTTAACCTGCAATTACACATGCTTAAATAATGTTTTAATATTTAAATAATAAGATACCCTGAATGTGAAATTAAAATCGCCAGTAGGGGGCAGAAAGTCACTGTTAATAAGTGAGTCATTGCGCTTGAACCGAGTCATTTAAACGGTTGATTCATGGTGTCTAATATGTCTCTTAATTAACTTTGTGTTTAGCACATTTCACATTTGTAATCATTCATTAAAAAAAACAGCACTCTTTGTTTGATATTGATTAACTATATGAAATGGTATAAATATATACATTTTCTGCCATCATGTCATGAATCTGTGATCATTCTAAATGTATTGTAGACTGAATCATGCAGTGAAAGAACGCCTTCTAAATGCGCACACGCACTAGTCTAGACCTCACCTAATGTATGTGTGCGCTCTGTAGGGGTGTTTTGAAAGGTTTTTGCAAAATACTCGATAACGTCAAATCACACATCGTTAAAACTACAATTAAGATATTATCGCACACCCCTAGGTATGAGTATAATAATGATTCTAACATAACACTAAGCCAAACACCAAAAAACATGTCATGAATCTGTGATCATTCTAAATGTATTGTAGACTGAATCATGCAGTGAAAGAACGCCTTCTAAATGCGCACACGCACTAGTCTAGACCTCACCTAATGTATGTGTGCGCTCTGTAGGGGTGTTTTGAAAGGTTTTTGCAAAATACTCGATAACGTCTCGCGGTTAATCGCTACATCCCTACTTCATAATTATAATAATAATACGTTTCTTGAGCAGCAAATCAGCA